AATCAGCATCTTGATATGCCACACCTGTGAGGTGGGATGGATTATCTCGGCAAAGGAGAAGTGCTCACTATCACAGATTTTTTCAGATTTGTGAACAATATTTGAGAGAAATGGTTATTTTGTGTATATAGAAACTGTTTTAGATCTTTGAGTTCATCTCATGAAAAATGGGAGCAAAAACAAAAGTGTTGTGTTTATATTTTTGTTCAGTGTATAAATCACTACAGGTAAACATGTGATTTTTACTATTTGTATTTGTCTCTTTTAGTATGTTCTTACCCTTCCTCCTCTTGCTGCTTCTCTCTGTGTGTTTGTCTGATGACCTCAGTCCATTCCCCAGGGGGCCTGAACCCCTTCAGGGTCTCAATGGGGAAGTAAACCAGGATCTCCCCATCGTCTGTAACAGCATCTAAAACAACAAAACCAATAATGAAGTATTGTAATACACGTCAGAAATCAAGAGAAGTTCCCTGATAGGCTCCCTTCAGAATGTCCTCACCTTCAGAGACGGGGGGTTCGGGGATTTGCCAGTCTTTCAGTTTGTGGTCGATGCAGATCACCAGAATGTCGTCCCAAGGGATCTGATTGAAGGTCGGACACACGTCCTCGTCGCCACGGCTGGATCTGGAGGTTTGGGTACGGTGACCCTTGACCCTGACCCTTTCCAGGAGGTTTTCCAGCCGGGACATCAGGAGGGGCTGGCTGCGGCGGGAGACTGGGATCTGAGCGGAGAAGTGGAAGATGGAGGCGCAGAGCTCAGGCCACGAGTCTAGAGAGAGAGAGAGATAATACAGCAGTGGGGAAGGAGAATAATACAATGATTATTAGGTTACAGTCAAATAGGCGTTTTTGTCGAGAAGGGTTCTTAAATTAGGGAAAGTACCTAATTGTCCCATGTCCTGTCCTATCCTGTGTTGTAATTGTATTCCTGTTGCTGCTTTCCTAACAGGGATCAATAAAGGTTTTAAATGAAGTGGTGGCCACAATAAGAGCTGTTGGAATTCTGGTTTCTAAGGAAATGAGCTACAATGCTTCCTTTATTATTTGATTTACTATACGATACACTGGACCATCAGAAGGAAAGAAGATTATGCTGTCCCACAATTCCTTGCGGTCGCAACATTTAAAATGATGCATTGTTCGGCTGTTGACGGAAACTACCCATCGTGATAGAAACACCCAGATCATGTTAGTTATGGTGCTTATTAAGCATTTTCCATGCATGCCATGGATTGACAAAGTGCTTACCTTCAACAATATGTTAAACAAAGAGGCTCACTATGAACATAATGATAATTACTGTAAAATGATCAAATAAAGTAAACATTTCACAGTATTTACCGATTTGGATGCCGTTTCTTATGTCATACTTATTTTACATCATTTTTGATCGGTGATATGCACAGTAGTTGATGTATAGGTCTTACACGTTTTGTATATTTTGCATAAAGTATTATTTATTGCAATAGTTTCATACAATCATACTACTTGGAAATCAAGAGTGGACAGCAGGGTGAGTGTGAGCAACCCTTTAGTTTCACTTTCCTTTTTACATTTAAATTCCAGTCGTAGAAAGGAATTTATATATTTTTCACTGTTGTCCAAGTTTAAAACAGCCCACATTAAACTATAAGAACGCACAGAGATGTATCAAGATGCACTTTTAGTAGTTTTTCTACGGCCGACGCATATCGATAACTAATTACTACGTACTAATGACATTAATACGTTGCCAGTGGAAAAGGCCGATTTCTTTTGACAATTCTCTATCTCAGTCACTGACCTGTGGCAGAGATCTGCTCCCACTTGGGCAGCTGCAGGCTAAGGATAGCTTCTCGGAGCCAGGCCAGGTGCTTGGGAGAGTTCCAGCCCAGATGAGGGACAAAGTCTTGGGATTCCTGCAGGCAGAACTCGCCCGGGGGCCAGGAGAGTCTGCTGAGGTCCGGAGACGACACTTTGTCAGCAAGGTGAGCCAGGACAGCGTTGTACAGCTGGATGACAGGCGCTGGCTCCTGGGGGGGGAGAAGGGCAGCGGCGCGATCCTGGTGGTGGGCGTAGACTCTGGGGCTGAACTCACGACTCAGCGCGTCCTCCACCAGCTGCACCAGGGTCTGACAGGAGAGAGGGAGCAGCGGGGGGGCACGGGCCAGCAGCCAGCGTGTAGCCTGGCTCAGCTGGAAACACACAGGACACAGAAGTTAGAGAAGATCTGTTTCAAACTATAAAACATCTACATCAACAAACCTGGCTCACAATGAAGGAGGGTCTACTTTATCCACGTTATCACAGATTGCATCCTATAATGTGAACAATGAGCACCAAAAAGTCATATTTCCCTAAAATGTCTTAAATTATTTTATTGAAAAAAGAGACCAGATTGTCACATTAAAAAGCAGACAAAAAGAGAAATCAAGAGTAACACATCCATGTTTTTTCATCTTTTCCTCTCAATAAGCGTCTCACTACCCCCTAGATTTACACTCTCTCGCTTTAGTGTATTTAACTCCGTTTTGGTCTACGTCTAGGAAAACATCTGGCTCTTCAGTGGCTAAAGGTTCCACAATGTTTAACAGCTATCTTGTTTTTCACTATAAAGCCAAAGGCAGCTGCAGATTCAGATGTATTCAGGTTTTGATGAATGTGTGATACCTGTTTGGTTCCCTGCAGCTCACTGGTGGTCTCTAGTATGAAGAAGAAGGTGAACTCTGAGATCAGGCCTTCCTGGACCAGCGTGTGCAGCATCAGGGCTGAGGGACAGGGAAAAATCAGGGTTCACACATTTGCTTAAAGTTCACTTATCATGCTATTTTTAGGCAATAGCATAGGTCTCAGATAAATACAAAAATATAAAAAACATGTCTATAAAGTGTTTTGCTCAAAATACCAAACAGATCACCCATTCTAGCCATGCCTCACATCCTTCTATTTCACTTCCTGTTTCAAAAGTGCTGATTTTGGGTATAAAGCTTGATAAAAAAATAAAAGGAGGGGGCTGAGCTCATGCGGGACCCGGCAGCTACTGTCTAAACTAAATACTGCGGTGATGAAACGCCATATCATGGATTATCAAGGATTATTTCTGAAACAGTATGGAGCTCAAAGGCTTTCTCTCTTGCCGGTTATACCACAAGGTGAGTTCCTTTTTATTTCCTGCTTCTTCACACACATGCTGTCCAGTACAGGTTAGCTCTGAGTGTTAGCGATGATAACGTAAACAAAGACCATATTACGTCCAAAAAAGTCGGGCATTGTTTCTGATAGCAAAGTTTCTGATAGGCCCGTGGGTCCACATTTCAGATATTACGTCATATCGGACGCAAATCTGGATCAGCTCCGTTGTTCCCCCATTTTTAGAGATTTGGGAACGGAGGAAAAGAGAGAGGGTTTTATTTTCTGACGCTGCGTGAGTTCCCTGACACACCGGGGAAACATCTTTATGTATAAAAGACATCAGAAAGTGCATTTTGCATGATAGGTCCCCTTTTAAAATTATTGCAATTATTATTTGCCAAAAATAATCTAGAATCTACGTTTTGATGTTTACAGGAGCATGGAGCAGCTTCAGCACTGGCTGGATGGCGACGACTTGGACCATTTGTCCACACCGCTTTTCATTCCCTCCTCCACCCTGTTGTCCATGCCCCCAACCATAACACGTGGGGACTCATCCAAGACCCCACATGACCCTCTCACACAGGTACATTCCCCTTCACCTAACTCTGTGATCCTTGGACAAGTCATGTCCTTTTTCAAACAGTCATTGTGGTTATTTTTGGCTGCAGATATTAATTTACAATCTTTTTTAAATGTTCAGTCATGATTTTCCGTAATCATGCATGTTCCCTTGTTTTCACTTTCTAGCCTTCAGAGCCTGATGATCTGTCGGACAAAGTGGACTCACCTAAAACCACGCGTGTGTCTATGTCATGGCGAATTAAGGAACTTGAGCGACAGATTTTGGCGAGTCATGGGGAAGAACTGGCTTGGAAACTTAAGCTGAGTGGTCTGCTGAGCATTGTTCATGACTGATGAACTATTGGAAGGAAAATACTAATAATGACTCTATGGCTTTGCAAACCATTGAAAGCTGAGGACACATTACATTTTCGTCTTGTCTTTGTTTGTAAAAGTGTATTGGAGATCAACATTTTTATTTTTGGTTTTATTATGTAGCATAGATGTTGCAATTTTAATGTCAATGTGTGTTTGTCTGATACATAGAACAAATAAAGTGTTTGAGTGTTTCAAATGTGTGGCTTGTTTGAACCAAATATTGGACTGCTGAGAAATAAAACGGATTAGTAAAAGTATTATTTTCAAATAAACTTCCCATTGAGCCCAGTTGTCATTCAGTAGTTTAAAGGTTCAGCCATTGAATAGTCTCTATCGTGTAGTGTGTGTTATAGCAGCGCTCTGATTGGAGAACTTCGCGGCACACCCGCCCATTGCCCCGCCCAGCCGTCTTGTGATAGGACAATTGGGTCTCTGCTCATGTCTCTCCATGGTGAGAACTCCTCGGATGGCACCGCGAGGGCCTCTGGGAAGTGAAGTGTGAAATTAACCGAACGGTAACCTATCGTTTCTACAAAGCACTACATTTCCCATGAAAGTGCAAAATGGGCAGAGCTTTCCAGAGCACCTGAAAATAAATTCATTCATAAAGTTCAGCGGAGGATTCAACTCTACTGTCAAACATGACTGAGGGCACGTAAGTATGTTAGTTTTATTTAATAGATTATGTCGCCGAAACTACTTCCGATATGACGATTTGAAAGGGATGGAGGGTCAACAGTTTGACAGAATCTGTTTGCTTAATATGAAAGACTAAATCGTAGATACAACAGTGCTGTAAAATGTTGTATCGTTTTTCTATCACTGAGGATCTTTCTCTGGATGTGCGCGTTCTTTAAAGCAAATAATGCAGTTAGTTGGCTCGTGTCAAATTGGCCGAACCGACCATTAAGTAATTCTCTCATGAAAAGAATAACTCGGATTGTGCTTTTTCCTCAACTAGTTGGATAATGCACTGCATATTTTCAATGCAGAAGTGGAAAAGAGTACATATAATTGCTACTTTTTTTACTCTCTTTAAGTGGGAAATATATATATTTTTTTATTCTGCATATTAAAAAAATCTATGTTGTGTAGTTATATGATATGATATAGTATATGATTAATTGTTACCAGCTACAAAAGTATAGCTGCTTACATGGCATGCCAATGTTCCTGTTTAATTGCTTATTCCCCTCTGACAGGATCTCATACCTGTATTGTCCAACAGATCACTGACTTAAGTTATGTTTAAAACAGTGTGAAGATTCCCACTTCTAATAATGCAATATAATGCAGCATCAAATTATTCAACACTTCAAATACAGCAATAAAATAAAGGCCAATTGTAAGCTTGTAGAGAGGTTCAAACATGCTTTTTGATATTGTATCAGACATGATGTGTACAAAGTTATGAACAAATCTATATTTACTCTCACTGATGACTAGCTGAGTGCAGTAGGTAAGGCGATACAAAAAAATCAAGTATCATGATGTATCTGACCAAATGTCTCTCAATGTGTATGTGACTAAATGTTAGGGGTTGACCTTTTGATACTTGCACTAAATATTTTCACAAAAAAGGTTTTGATAAATAATAATTAGTCATTTGGATGAAATGATGAAGTAGGTCAAAGTAAATAATAAAACAGGTGACCAAACTGTAATTTCAGAAAAGGTTAATGAAGTTTTAAAACCAGGAAAAGACATATATCACAGCCTTAGAGTAAACATTTGTATTTAGTGAGATGTTAAACTAATAAATATAGTAGAAGAATCTAGCAGTATACTAAACAGTTAGATAGTCCATCATTAAAATGTTTCCTGTATCTGTTAGGCACCTGCGGAGGAGGGGGGGGCCGTACAGGACGGAGCCAGCCACTGACCTGAGCCGCTGGAGGCTGAGTAGTGTGGAGGGCCGGCAGACATGGCGCTATGTTGAAGACCAGGACCCCCCCGACAGAGAGCAGACCATGCTGGAGGCACACTCTCTAGGCCTCGACACGGTAGGCTTTGAATATTTATTTTCTTGTTTTAAATGGCACAAAAGGGTGCTGGGTTTATGATTGTTATGCAACACGTTTTGCATTGCACTCTGGGTTCATTTAGGTTGATTATTTCTTGACAGTTTCTACAACAATATAAAACAGAGACACTCAAATATGGTAGTATATAGTGACAATGAAACATTTTAATTAGGGCTGCACCAGTTGTAAAAAATAACTAAATGCAATTATTTTTGACTCATAATGATCCGCTATATACAATAGGAAGTTATCATTTCTGAAACATTCTACCCATTATCTTTTGATAAATATATTAAAATGATGTGTGGTGTGTTCTTTTAAGAAGATGTTTACATATTTTGCCTTTAGCAAATATTTCAGATACTGAAATGTGGATATTGTACTTGTCCTTATTGATAATATTTGTATAAATGTGTGAAGCCCTAGTTGAAATAGCTTATGAATTCAGATGTAGCCCTGGAGATGTCCTTCACAGCAAGCAAGGAACAAATAGACTTCTGAGAGCTTACTTGTTTTTGTACCAAAACAGTACTAGATAGAATAACAACTTGTATTGGTTCCTGTCAATAGTTGCCAAAGTGGTTGAAAGACCCCTGAAATGTATCGCTTGAAACTGGTGTTAATTCAGGTTTTCTTCTCTCTGCAGAGTCAGTTTGTGTCCGAGTCCCCGGCTGCCCACACGGCTGTAAAGGCCGCTCTGAAAGGAATGCACTTCTACAGCCAGCTGCAGGCAGAGGACGGTCACTGGGCGGGGGACTACGGCGGACCCCTTTTCCTGCTGCCAGGTAAACCAAATCGTCCTCCTCCAGGTCCCTATATGTGACACTTTTCTCTTCAGCAGCTTTCCTGTGTCTTTTCCTGTAAGAGATACATTTCATTTAAAGCCACAGTGTTTATCATTTGGCCTTGTAATCTTTTTATGTGCCAGACAGAAAACTGAAGACATCAGGGGAGATGATTTCTGAAAATTATAGAACACATTGTAAAAAATGTATTATCTCTATGTGGTATGTAATGATGACAAATATCTCTTATTATACATTTTTACTTTAATTTATTATGTTTGTTTTAATATTTTATTGTATTCTTAAATGAAGCAACTGTCCAAATTCTGATTCTGGTGATCAATTTTCCAAGTCTGATCCCCAAACTTACTTTGTGATTAACATGTTATACATTTTCTGTCACTGAAAAGAGTTTAATATTTCATTTGTCAGTGAAAATAGTAATGTCATTACAGCAGTAATTATACTTTTAGTCTAGAAAGGTATTTTAATCTGGATTCATCTTCAAATAGAGAAACATTAATGTTTTTAGTCCTATTTAGAATACATGATAGTGGTGCTCTTAAGCCTCTTGTGGTTGAAATAAGTGTTACAACAACAAACACATAGATGTTTTTATCTGCTCTAAATAAAAAGGAGAGAAAAACTATTAAGAATCAGACTTGGAGGATATATCAAACAGGATACGTTTTTGTTACGGTATAACACTAAATAAAATGCAGCAGGTGATTTTATGACACCTGTGTTTGTGTTCTTGTGTGTCTCTCTCTCACTGTATTGATGTTCATGTCTGTGCTCAGGTCTCCTGATCACCTGCCATATTGCCAAGATCCCTCTGCCCTCTGCCTGGCAGAAAGAGATGGTGAGGTACCTGCGCTCTGTGCAGCTAGCAGACGGAGGCTGGGGTCTGTAAGTACAAATATCTATATATGCATTTAACATGCCATCTCATTCAAGTTCTTTACTTTAACATGAGGTCACGTGTAAGTGAACTGCAGTAGGCAAAGGGTATTACGCTTTGCAGTACCGTTTCATTAAAGGGGAATTGTGTCAATAATCTATCATAGTTTGTCACTTTCCATTATAGGGTCTGTCTTTATCGTGAAATATAATGTTTTGATATAAGCTCTTGCACATACTTGTTGATAAACTGTTACAGGAAGTGCCCATTCTTTCCCACTGCTGAGACAAACCTCTAAAATGCATGGTTAGACTCCCTGAAATATATTTATTATTGTTGATGTGTTTTGTTTCTCCCAGACACATTGAAGATAAGTCCACTGTGTTTGGCACAGCGCTGAGCTACATCTCACTAAGGATTCTGGGAGTAGAGCCTGATGATCCAGACATGATTCGAGCCAGGAACAACCTGCACAGCAAAGGTGGGAAGTGGGAAATAATAAGTGGGAATCATCCCTAAAAACACAATGTCAGTTATCGTCTCATATAGAATTATATCTTTATATTTGTACATCTCAGAGACTGGAAAAATAGTTATATAAATGCAGTCCATAGCTATTTTATGTCTCATTGGTTATTATTGAATTGTCGTATTTTAAAAGAGGCAAAAAATAATTTTGAATACAGTAACTATATTTTAGCAATACACAGTATATCGGCCATTGGCTGGCCTCTTCTCTAAGTATAGCCAGCAGCCATTGTAAAACTCATATTGATAGACTACTATTAACCATGTCAGTTATTTATGTTGATAGTTGAATACTGAAGCTGTCTGTGTTTTTTATTTTTCTACAGGTGGGGCTGTGGGGATTCCCTCATGGGGTAAATTCTGGTTGGCCATTTTAAATGTGTACAGTTGGGAAGGAATGAACACACTGCTGCCAGAGATGTGGTGAGTTCTAACATCCCATAATGTCCTCTCATACCCACCAGGCATGCTAAGATGACACTGAAAAAGCTTCAGGATCTCAGTTCAGGTTAGAGTAAATACTCTAAATACTTTTCTTGCATTTTCTGTCGCTAAACAATAAAAGGAGATTCATTCACTGAAAATTGCAACCTCTCTTCATCTCCGTTATTCATGCAGACAAAATAATGCAACATATCACACAAAATACTACCGTTATTTCAGAGCAATTTACTAAGCACATCAAAAAACACACGCTCCCCTAAGAAAGGGCTGTAGCCATAAAGTGATGCATGTGTGTTGACATATTTACAGGTTGCAAAACAGATATTCAAACAATTTTTAAAAAATAATTATCAAACTATATCACAAACAGTGTACAGTTTTGTCAGCAGGTGGAGACATACTATCAAAGAAGTGGAGAAGAAAGGATCGTTTTTGTTTCTCATTTAAACTGTGGGGTGACAAAGTTTTCTACAGTATCTATACAACGGTTTTTCTGGTTTATCAATTAGTTTCTTTCAACTCTCTCATTGCTAAATGTCTGCGGCGCTAACCACTGTTTGATGGTGTGTATCTCCATAATGCCTGCATGTGATTCTTCTCCTTAAAAAAAAATAGATATTGCAAAGAAAAATAAATGTAAACGTTTTAATGATGTAATATGTATCTGTCTCAGGCTGTTCCCCTCTTGGATGCCTGCCCACCCCTCCACCCTGTGGTGTCATTGCCGCCAGGTGTACCTCCCCATGAGCTACTGCTACGCTGTGAGGCTGTCTGCAGAGGAGGACCCGCTGGTCCTCAGCCTCCGACAGGTGCAGACCCTTCTCCTCCACCAGGGGGCTCTATAATTATTCAAATGTCAGCAAAAATGGTTGCCAATGTATTTAGTTAGTTAAGGTATTCAATCATTTACAAGTTACTTTTTGTTTCAATGGTAGTAAAAGTATATGTCATGTTTTTGTTGTCAGTACTTATAGTGCGAACGTGTCTTTATACAAGGATTAAATAATCATTCTCAGTCATTCTGTAAAACAGGGTTACTTAACGAAATGCGGATGCAGTCTATTTATGCTACACAAGAAAACCATGGCAAAACAAAGTGGAATAAAACAGTTCCTGTGGCTCATTTTTCGCATATTTTCAAAATCCTGCCTCTGAAAGATGTGATAAGGCTTTCTTTATTCTAAGGACTTCTTTTGAGTTGACACTCAAACAGTTATTTAGACCAGGGGTTCCCAAAGTGTGGGAAGGTGATCCTCCCCTCAGAGAACATAATCACAGCCGCGCCCCCCCCTCCCAATTATTATTGCTATTATTATTATTATTATTATTATTGTTGTTGTTGTTGCTATAATGCAGGGGTATTCAATTGCATTTCAAAGAGGTCCAGTAAGAGAAAATGTCATAAAATGCTCTGTTTTCGCTACCTTTCTCTTTTTGCTGAGCGTCACCTCCTTAAAACATTGTACAATAGCTTTTTTAAACCTCTTTATGTTTTAAACATGTTGAGGTTAAGGATGGCAGCTTCCTCATACGTTGCACTCGGAGAGAAATAGTTGAGACGGAGATGTCTTTAGCAGCAGGGAGGAGTAACTTTTCACCAATGTTGTGAGGTTTAGCTTAGCTATCCGTAACGCCACTCGGTATGATGCTTCGGTTGCCTTTGTATTCACAGTGCTAAATATGTCAATGACATTTTTCTGTGACTGCAATTCCTTGAGCTTCCGGTCAAAAAAGTCCTGTGGCTTGGTCACCAAACATGGGTGTTTCGTCTCAATATGACACCGGAGTTTACATGGTCTCATACTGTCATTAGCTAGCACCTCGTTGCAGATAACACACTGTGGCAGTGGAGTGCCATCAGGACCGGTCCATGAAAATCCTAGCTTCAAATAATCATTGTCATACTTCCTCCGTTTTCTGACAGACGCTGTCTCCTCTCTCACTTTAGGTAACTTCACTAAACATCTGTCCATATTTTGCCGCTCGCATACATTTAGCTGAAGTTAACTAGCTACATTTCACTGTTTCTCTTTCTTTTTTTCTTGCGGCTGCGCCTCCCTTGAAGCTCTCTGGCGTCCCCCAGGGGAGGCGCGCCTCACACTTTGGGAACCCCTGATTTAGACAGTCTTGGTGTGAAATAAGATATAAACCACTTTTTCTTTAGATATAAGATGATCACAAGAAATATATCTACAGTCGCAATATGTTTATTCACATACACAAACAAATTGCTCTTTGTTTTTTCTAGGAGCTTTATGTCCAGGACTATGCCACCATCAACTGGCCCGCTCAGAGGAACAATGTCGCATCATGTGACATGTACACCCCTCACAGCACGCTGCTCGACGTCGCCTACAGTAAGTGTCACCACACTGGGCAGCAATAACAAACCAACACCTACAAAAGCACGTAATGACCCTTTTCCACTGCTTAATGTCATTAAAACTACCATGTGTAGCTGATTCAACACTTTTTAGCATAAAAGGAATACAAATAAATAAATACAAATAAAATAATTAAAAAAAAGACTAAAGTACAAACTTTAGTAAATGCACCTTTTTACTTTCCACCACAGCCATAAATACAATTGATATCAGACTTACAAAATAGATTACCAGATTTTAAATTCTTCTCACTTGCATCTCAGTCAATCAGTCAATCAATCAATCAATGTTTATTTATATAGCCCAATATCACAAATGTTACATTTGTCTCAGTGGACTTCACAGTTTGTACAGAATATCAGTATGACAATACGACACCCTCTGTCCTTGAGTCAGTCTTGAATTGTATTTAGATGATTGGATTCATCAGGCTTGATGGATAAATATAGGTGAGTATCATCCGCATAACAATGAACATTTACAGAATGATTCCTTATTATATTGCCTAGCTAAGCAATGCACTCAAGTTAGTAATAATACAGGGAATTAAAATATTTGGCATATTCCTGGCAACAAGATGTTTTTTCAGACTGATAAATGAGGAAGTGTTTATAATGGGAATTTCCCAAAGAGTTGCTCTGTAAATGACCCCCTAACCGTGTGACTGTGTTCCTGCAGTGGTGCTGAATGTGTATGAAGCCCATCACAGCACCATGGTGAGAGAAAAGGCTGTCAAAGAACTGTATGAACACATCGAGGCCGACGACCGTTTCACCAAGTGTGTCAGCATTGGACCGGTAGTGTATACACAGATATACCAACCACAGATTTAATAGAGTATTGGATATGTGTATGCTTGACACAGGATCAAAAACACTAACTTATTTCCAAAAGTGTTCAGATCACCCTATATGAACTGACATTTCAAAAGAAATAAAGGGGGTGAAAATTGAGTATTTCATTGTTGTCTTCAGATCTCCAAGACCATCAACATGCTGGTTCGCTGGTATGTGGACGGGCCCTCCTCTCCGGTCTTTCAGGAGCATGTGTCTAGGATCCCAGACTACCTATGGTCAGTCAGTCCATCCCTTACAACTGTTTTACTAACTAAACACACTTCTGTTCCACAACTGATCAGAATAAGGTGTTTATGTGTATGCCTATAAATTAAAGTGTTATATTAAAAATTGTCCGATCCCTAAAAACTAACATTAAATTCTCTGTGTTCCAGGTTGGGATTAGATGGAATGAAAATGCAGGTGAGATTTAGTTTTCCGTTCCTTTTCTATATTGGGAGTGAGGGTTAGTTTTGAAACTGTATTGAGTAAAATGATAGGGGTGTCTCACCATGAATGCTCATGTTTAGGAACGGTTGAGCTGCTCAGATGTCCTGTAGGAGCTCTTGGTATAAATACTGCTTAGCCGGTTAGTCAATTAATTGGCAGAAACATATGGATGGACTTAAAACTCAAATCAACTTTTTACCCTTCAATTAATTTGTTTTTATTTACTTGCTGGTTCCATACTTTGTGTTTTATCCTGCAGAAATAGTTTTAGTTCAAGTTTAACTTGAGCGTTTGACCACTTTCTCCTTTTTCTCTTGCATAGGGGACCAATGGATCTCAACTCTGGGATACTTGTTTTGCTGTACAGGCTTTCCTTGAGGTAACACACCTTGAAGTAGTAGAATTTGTACCAAAATAAAAACTAGGGCCAGAAGATGTTCAGCTTAGCTTAATGCAAAGACTGGAAAAGAGAACAAAGCATTCCTGGGTTTTTCAAACACAAAATAACACTTACCATCACCTCTAAGTCACTCATTATTGTGGTTGGAATTGTTGTTTTTAAATTTGGATAGGTATAACTATGTATAACCAGAGCAATTAAGACAACATCAAAAAATGTTTCTGGATGGCCTAGAGAAAACATGTACCACTTGACTAAAACTGCGTTGGGCTCAGTGGGATCCCTCGTGTCCTTTTTCATAGATATAAAATTCCCTGGTAAAACAGAACGTTGTTGTCCCTTAAGGTCACGACAACTTTCTGAGCCAGAAACAAACAAACTGCACTTACAACTCATATTTCTAAACATTTAAATATCACAATAAATACTAGATCTTTGGTCAATTTGTCATACAGACCTTGTTGAGATGTTTCCTAAAGCAGTATCTGACTATAATGAGTTGTTTATTGGGGATTTTCAGGCAGGAGCCCAGAATAACTCCACGTTAGCAGGGTGCCTCCGAGATGCCCATCAGTTTCTCACCATCACACAGGTACCACCAACATCATTAAACACATTGCTAGTGCTTATTTAAGTTTTTTTTCCCACTTAAAAACGTGTTAATATGAATTCAATTGATTTCCCATTTTAACAGATACCTGAAAATCCTCCCGAGTATCAGAAGTACTACAGACAGATAAACAAGGTATTATAACACATGAAAAGACAGCAAGAATGGCCTCTGACAAAAGTGAATTTCCTAGCCTGTTGGCATGTGTGTGCAAAAAGTGTTATCCCTTTGTTTTTCTTTATCAGGGAGGTTTCCCCTTCAGTACCCGGGACTGTGGCTGGATTGTGGCTGACTGCACAGCGGAGGGTTTGAAGTCAGTGATGCTGCTGCAGGAGCTCTGCCCCTCCATCAGCCAGCCGCTCCCCTCAGAGCGCCTGTGTGATGCTGTCAATGTGGTGAGTCTGCAGTCCATCAATCACTCATTCATTCCTTAAGTCTTATTGGTAGTGTTATCCAAAAAGAAAAATCATGTATCTTTTGGTAACACTGATCAATACGCATTTTCTTCCCATTAATTAATCATCATCATCATCATCATCATCATCATCATCATCATCATCATCATCATCATCAGCTTTATTTAAAGAGACTCTTGGTCCATTATTAAAAGACATACAACACTCAAAAATAAAAATTAAAAAAGGCAGTTATACCAATGTTTCCACAGAGGTGACTGGTATCGTACAGCACTGAGACACGGATTTGACAGTAGCATAATGACAGAATTATGAGAAGCATTCAATCGACAGATGAATTTGTACATCAGATTTCTCAAAAGAGCATGGAACGTGTTGACTCGTGCATTACAGAACATTTCACTTGCACTGCACCACCTTGGTTTTCTAAGCAGTATACGCAGACAGTCATTATATGCAACCTGGAGCTTCCGGAGGCTCACCTTCTTATACTTGACCCACAAGGGGGCAGTATAAAGAGGAGTGCAATAAGCTCTAAAGAGGTTCACCTTAACCTTATCTGAACACCAAGAGAATTATCTAGCCAACATGTTGGCTTGCATATATAAGACATGCCGCTGTCTATACATGTCATCATCATCAGCCATTTCATCTGTGATGATGTGTCCCAGATACTTAGTGTTACAGCAAACAGACAGCACCTGTCCTGACAAACAGAATGTTGGAAAACAAAGGTTCTTATCCCCTTTTGCTCTGCAGATCATTACAGCGCTCTTCTTAGCATTGTATTTAACGTCAAATTTGACTCCGTAATCAGAACAAACATTTAACTGTTGAAAACCAGCACTGCTAGGAGAGACAATTGCCAGATCATCAGCATACATAAGATGGTTTACAATCACATTACCAATCACACAGCCTGTTTTACAGACACTTAAATCCATCTGATAGATCATCCATATAGATATTAAAAGGCATGTGAGAGGAGCCCCCTGGCGGACCTCCATTAACTAACACCAAATGGCGCCGAGACTGCATTTCCCCCCCTATTTTATCGCATGCTCTGGTTGGCATTACCAATAAGCCAGCAGATCCTTATTATACTGTTGGGCACACCCCTTTGTCTAATTTTAACAACAGTTTATGATGGTTTAACTCGGTCAAAAGCCTTTAGAGGCATCCAATAAAAACCAATCAGAACAGTGGAATTCTGTCTTCTATGGTTTCTACCTTTCCTTTCAAGCCATGATGCATTAGCTCAGTACCATGCTTAGCCTGAAGCCAAACTGGTTATCTGATGGTAACATAAATAAGAACATAGTCTATCTGACAAAATCTTTCCAGGACTTTGCATAACACCCTGGCTAGAGCAATTGGGTCTATAGTTATCCAAGCTCCCCTACCTCGCCCCACTTTGTCCTTAATGACAGGGACCAAAGTAAACAGTCAACATGGAGGTCTGGCAACACACCTGGATCATAGGGCCGGTAAAAACAAGTGGCAAGAAGAACTGCAACTTCGGGCTTGCCAGTTTAATACCACTTGCATTCACTGTCATATCTAATTCTCATATGTGTAAAGCTTATGCATGAGTGTGAGGTAACTGTTTACAATTACAGGGGTCCATTATTTCTTCTTGTGTTAGGTGAACTCGAGGTACAGCGCAGGTTTGCATGCTTCAGTGAGACTATAGTATTGCAATCCTGCGATTATCTCCATTGTTTAAACATAATGAATGAATAATCTGCATTCTGTAGATTGAATGATAAATTAAATCCATTATAACTCTTGCAAATGGGCCACAATTTATCTAAATTGTCCCAGTCTTTACAACACCTAAAAGTGTCTACATATACAGTCAGCATGCACACGATTCATATAGAATCTAGAGCAGGGGGTCAAATAAAAAAAAAATCTCAAGGCCCGGGGGCCAAATCCTTGGCCCGCCATTCATGTATGTGGCCCACAAAAGACTTTCCAAAAAATATAATACGTTTTATAAGCTACATGCCGCTTTACAGGATCAACGTTGCCCATAAACTACAGTTGTCCCACAATGCATTCATTATGCAGATGCGCAGCGAAGAGACTTTCAATTACTTTGCAATTATTTGCCCTAGACTTCTTGATTCAGAC